TTATCAAATAAATCAAAAATTCAGGTCAAATGTTAAATCCCTTGCCATGTAAGCATGACAGGGCAATTTTTTGCCATCCAAGCAGCCAAGCGGGGTGTGTCCTCAACGGCAGTTAAGTCAGGCCGGCAGTCCCAAACGCGTAAGAAGAAGGGCTTAATTGCTTTGATCCCCGAGTTTCGAGGGCTTATATGCATCAATTACAGTCTAGGGGCTTAATAGCGATTCTGGGGTTGGTTCAGGGGCTTAACTTATGGTTTTGCCTCCAAATTTTGCAATATAAATTCCCCGTTCTCCTCCGTGTTGCCTCTCATCCAACCCCTTTCATCTTGTCTTCCTCTCCACTCTCAAATTATTAACAATGGAATCTGAGCTTTCCTTCATCTTCTGCTCCATTTTCTTCTCTTTTACCCTTCTGTTTTGTTTATTCTCTTTGATGATTTTCCTGTTGAGACTCAAGTTTGGGTGTGGCTGCGAAATCTGCCGGGCTTTCCTCAACTCCAGTTGGTCCAAAGAATTCGATAATATCTGTGACTGGTACACTCATCTTCTCCGGAAGTCAACTACAGGCACCATCCACATCCACGTTCTCGGAAACACCATCACCGTAAACCCTGCGAACGTCGAACACATTCTCAAGACGAGGTTCGATAACTACCCAAAGGGGAAACCTTTCTCAGTGATCTTAGGCGATCTTCTCGGTAAAGGTATCTTCAATGTCGATGGTGATTCCTGGAAGTTTCAGAGGAAAATGGCGAGCCTGGAACTCGGTAGCGTGTCAATAAGACTCTACGCTTTTGAACTTGTCAAAGTGGAGATCCAAACCAGGCTGATCCCTCTCCTATCGTCGTTTTCCAGAAACGGTGACGTTCTAGACTTACAAGATGTTTTCCGGCGGTTTTCTTTCGACAACATTTGCAAGTTCTCCTTCGGGATTGACCCTGGTTGTCTCAATTTATCCTTGCCAATCTCGAAACTCGCCGTTGCTTTTGATGTGGCGTCTAAATTATCAGCTGAAAGAGCCCTGACGGTGTCGCCGATTGTATGGAAGGCGAAAAAGCTACTGAATTTAGGATCGGAGAAGCAGCTGAAAGAAGCTATCAAAATGGTAGACCAATTAGCAGAGGGAATGATAAACCACCGCCGGAAGATGGGGTTCGCAAACAAGAACGATCTTTTATCAAGATTCATGGGGACCATCGACGACGATAAGTATCTCCGAGACATAGTCATCAGCTTCTTGTTAGCCGGCCGCGACACAATCGCCTCCGGACTGACTAGCTTCTTCTGGTTGTTATCACAACACTCTGAAGTTGAGTCAGCCATTCGGGACGAATTGGATCGAGTCATGGGTCCGAGTCAGGAACTCGAAAGCTTTGAGTCCATGAGAGAACTGCATTATCTACATGCTGCTTTGCATGAGAGCATGAGGCTATTTCCACCGGTGCAATTTGATTCAAAGTTCGCTGAAAAGGACGACGTTTTACCTGATGGAACATTTGTCAAGAGTGGCACCAGGGTCACCTACCATCCGTATGCAATGGGTCGGATGGAGCGGGTTTGGGGATCCGACAGTCTTGAATTCATACCAGATAGGTGGTTGCAAAATGGGAGGTTTGTCCAGGAAAATCCGTTCAAGTATCCGGTCTTCCAAGCCGGGCTTAGGGTTTGTCTGGGCAAGGAAATGGCACTAGTGGAGATGAAATGCGTGGCCGTTGCGCTCCTCAGGCGGTTCAACATCCGGATAGCGGATCCGGTTCAAGCCCCGAGGTTTGTCCCTGGGCTAACCGCCACCATTAAAGGTGGCTTACCGGTTATTGTTGAAGAAAATTAATACCGGAGGGTTAATCATGCATGATGCAAATTAAGCGTCCGGGCTGGCCGGCGCATGTTAGCATTTTGTAGTGGGTAACTGCTAACATACACTGACCAATGTGGAGGAATGTGGGGGGGAGAAGATAAGATGTAGGATCAAATAATTATGTGGAGGGTTGTATTTTGGCCTTTTTGGATTAGGTACTGGTTCTATTAGTGTACATGCAAATATATGTATTATATGGAAGAAGTAGAAGTCTGTTTTCTGGGGAACAGGAATGCAGGACTTTTGTATAAGATAAGTTCCTGCATCTGTTTCTAGATATTTTTTAATTTGGCGCCCAATGCAAGGTCATATCTTCAATGAAGAAGAAAAGGGGTCGAAGGGTGAGGATGTGAAATATCATTGAATACCTTACCTTCCATATAGAAATTTGTTGTTGCAGCAACATTTACCAAGTTTCTATTTCTCTCCACATTTCTTCCTTCAAACTGGAAATTCCAATTCCTATGTAATCATAAGAGATATCTTCAGCTACTGGCATCAGCTCAATTTGTTGATCGATATCATCACATCCGAATTCGAACCCCAACTGTTTTGAAGAATCTTAAATAATTTGGCGTATAATCTACAAAACAGACAGTAGTTTATGTTAAGCCACAGAAAGTCATAGAATCTGTTGGAGTTCAGAAGCAAGAAAACAGAAGGTGAAAATCAAGCAGAGGGCAGAAACAGAGGAAAAACCAGAAAAAAACATAAAGAGGGAACATAAAGACCATACATACATCGGTCTTCTCCTTTTATTGTATATATATTTTGTACATTGATAGTAAGTGAAGGTGAACAACTTATATAAAAGATCTTGTGCATATCATATTACAAAAAAAAAAAAAACATAGATTACAATGATATAATTTTCACCTACTCCAACTAAAGCAAAATATAGTTCCATTGTGCTATGTAGTTAAAATTCAAGTCTTCCACAGAATCAATATAAGAACTCTTATATGTTATACCTCATTTTGTATGACTTCTGGCTGTGGCAGATTTAGCGTCTTTGGCCCTTAGAAGAAGATAGAGCTTCTAACTTCTCAATGAACATACTGGAGGCGATGCAAAGTTGTTGAAATATGTATAATAACACAGAACAGACACATTAAATCAAGCGTACTGTGAGATAATGAGATACTCTTTGCCAGCAAACGGGCTGCACCAGTGACCAATATACTCCTGTCCTGAAGAAACTGTGGAATGCTCCATAATTCCATCCCAGAATGAATGGAGGCACAGAAAGATTGAAGAGGGAAGACTCCTTCTTGAATTATTATTATTATTTTATACATTGATTTAAATGTGTCAATTTATTAGCTTCATTTTATACCAAGCCAGGAATATAAACATAAGTTAATGCATTTTAATTTTAGTACTTAAGTCAACAAAAAGAATCTAGTAAATTTTACCTTTTCTGGGAAGAAAGGTTAGGCAATAGATGCCCCGAAATCTGGGGTGTGCCTTATTTTATTACCAAGCAACAAAAACAAGAAAGCCAGTAAGCTGAAATTAGAGGTCATGGTCTAATCTGCCTAAGAGATTTCAGAATTAAAGGAAGTTAACAAGTGAAAATTGATTTCCTTGCTGAGTGCTTCATATGAAGCAGAAATTACTTGTAATGATGTGTGTTAATCTTAATTGAGACACAATTAGCTTCATGGAAACAACAATACAATAAAATACACTATGAAACGCCATAACCTTGCTCGAAGTTCTTAAAAGACTTTTGCTGACAGCTTTCATTCTATATGCTGCCTTTAACAAAAGACACACCAATATATTAAATAAACTTCTGTCCTAAGGAAGAACACAAATGCCGAAGAAATGCCCCCCTTAGCTCAGAATAATTGATCTCTAAAACACATTGATATATATTAAATTCCACCTTGTGTTTGATCATTTGAAAATGTATTTCACAATTCCTGGAAGATGAATATTCATGAAGTAGTCGTCCCAGTCTATGCTCTTGGGATCAAAGTAAAACAAATCCATCTCTTTGCCACTCTCTCTTGCTGCCATTCTCAATTTCTCCGTGTTCGTGTCATCAAAGCTGTATCCAGAGAAACATCGGATGAATGAATGCATTCATAAGGTTTATATATACACTCGATTTTCAAGATTGAATGCTCAAATTCAGTATAATATACTTACATGCCCTTGAAGAACAAATACGGTCTGTAAATCTCTACCAATCGCATTACAAAGTTGATTTTCCTGTTCATATCACTGTAAACATCCTGGAAGGATCTGCAAAATGCTGTATTTGCCAATTCTAAGCCCTGCATGCGTATGATAAAACAATGTAATAAGAAGAGAATTCAATTTGTTCTTTTGGACATCAGCTATTAATTTAGAATGCAGTTTAGAACAAACCTTTAGTGGAAACAAGTATCGAAAAGCCATGTATCTGTGGAAGCTGTTCATGTTTTCCAATACCCTCATTTTACCAACTTTTACAGGCTTTCCTTCCTTGTTGATCCAGGGTTTTGAGCTGAAGTACCGGAAGCCAAAGTCTTGAAGGTTGCCGTTTCTAAGAGGGTTACTTAAGGATGACCCCACTTGATAAATGGCATCAGATGGCTGATTCCCATGAGCTACCATTGCCACAATCATAGCATTAACCACCATATCAGCCGGAATCTGGAAAATCTAGAGCTTAGCTAAGAGAAAAACAATGACATGAAAAAACCATGACTGTTGAAAGTATATGAGGATTATGACTTTGAATTCCCACCACATCAATAACAGCCTTCAGATCTCCCAGGAAGCATTGTAGTTTTCCTTTACCATAACCGACCGCTAGGCTGTCTATTGTCCTGCAGCCACAGACACAATCATATACATTGTTTGGCTACCGAGAAAATAGAGAAAAATAAATTGAATTAATCTAATATATATAACTTTGATTAGTTATTGTAGAAGGATTCTCCTTTTATTACCTGACTCCTTCAGCCCAACCGGAGAATGGTTCTTTGTAAGTGCTAGTTACGATGGTGGGGCGTACGATGACTGTAGAGATATTTCCTTTCAAATGCCCCACAAGCATTTCTGCCATTGCCTTTGTGAATACGTAACCGTTTGGCCATCCATAAGTGTTTGCCCTGCTCATTAATCATACAATTAGCCAGAATATATAGATCATCAATGTTCACTAATTTATAATAACCAAAAAAGATATTAAATAATGAGATTAATATTTGTCAATTGAATTTCAAAATACTTAAAAGTAAAAATACTTTATTTTATTAAAATATTATAGAAAAAGAATAAAACAAACTCAATCTTAATTTAAAGATAATTTATTTTAAATTTTTAATAAAAATTTATTAAAATAATATAATTAAAAAAATTTTCTTTTAATTTTTTAAAAATTCAGTTACCAAACACTTTTTTTCTCTTTTCTCTTAAATAATTTACATATATATATCATTTTAATAGAGCTAGCTTTTTATTTATTTATGAGTTGGTTTTCTAAATACTCAAACTTATAAATTTATGAGGTCCAAAGTCAAAATGCTAAACTTTGCAAGCAAAGCTCGAGTCAAAATCGAGTTTGACTCAATGATCTATTAGACTATCAAATCAAGTTATTCTTAATTTATTATGGACTTTTTTAATGTGTAATTTTAAAGATGCAATAAATATTTTTTAAAATTAATTTACATAAAAAATTATAAAAATTT